ACATTAACTAATATAATAATAATACTATACAATTTCACAATATTTGGTACAGATCAAAACATTTTTAAATAAATAGTTTGTTGACATTAGAATTGAAAGTCTTATTGTTTTAGTATAAAAAATATCTGACTTCAATTTTAAAAAATGAATAATTTGTTGTCTAAGGAATGTATTTTATAATCATACTTAATTTTGATACTTAATTTAACAATAATAGATGTATATTAAATACTTATAANAAATAAATAGTTTGTTGACATTAGAATTGAAAGACTTATTGTTTTAATATAAAAAAATTCTGACTTCAATTTTAATAAATGAATAATTTGTTTGTTGTCTTAAGGAGTGTATTTTATGATCATACATAATTTTGCTATTTAATTTAACAATAATAGATGTAAATTAAATACTTATAAACAAATACTTTATTTTGATTCTTTTTACATAGCAGTTTGCATTAAAAATACTTATGACATCACCTTTTGATAGTACAATTTTTGGTTCATTATAATAGGAATGTGTATTATGATTATATACGTGTTTAGATATAAAATATTACAATTCCAAATGAAATAATAATAAATGTATAATTTGATTAAATGTTGAATAGCATACTAGTTTGCTTATACTAATAATCTTTCTGACTTCCACTTTTAATTATAAATTATATTAATATTAAATATAAATTATATTAATCTTTGGGAAAATCATGTTTATTTTAATCAAACATACATTTTGATACTGTCTTTCACAATATTTGATACAAATGAAATATGTATAAATGCATTCATTGCTTTTATTTATGTAACATACCTGTTTTTTACATTTAAAATCACTCAGACTGAGACTATTACTATTAAATTATAAAAGTTTTTGTGTTAGAATTGTGTGTTATAATCAGAACTACTATATGCTATATAATTTCACAATATTATATTCCAAAATTAAATAATTATAAATTCATAATTTGTTTAATTTGAAATTGCATAGCATTTTGTATACATTCAAAATCCCAATGATTTTATCCTTTTTAAAAATTTTCAATTTATTTATGATATGAATAGGTTTTATTATCATACACACGTTTTTCTACAGAAATTCACATTATTTATCACTAATTGCGTACACCTATAGACACAGCTTTGTTTGAATTAAAATTGCATAGCAGTTTGTATTTATTAAAAGATCTTCTGACTTTCACTNGGTTGAATACAGTTTACACAATATAAGATAATTTAAATATCCTTAGACACAGTTTTTATTTAATTTATTAAGCATATAAATTTGACTATAACAAACATTATTCAGATTTTGACTTTTAATATTAAATTACCTTATTATTTTTGATTGAAACGAGTCCTAGAATCTCTCACTCGTTTTGATATACATTTTTACAATATTTAATAACAATTTTATACCATATCCTTAGACACAGTTTTTATTTAATTTATTAAGCATATAAATTTGACTATAACAAACATTATTCAGATTTTGACTTTTAAAATTAAATTACCTAATTATTTTTGATTGAAATGAGTCCTAGAATCTCTCACTCGTTTTGATATACATTTTTACAATATTTGATAAAAATGTTATACTTATAAATACAGTATTTGTTTGAATTGAAATTGCATAGCAGTTTGTTTATAATTCCTTCCGATCTAAAGTTTTGTGATAGGAATATGTTTTATGAGTAGACACACTTTTGCTTAATTGATTTACAATTGATTTTTTAAATTATTTTGGCCTCCGTAAGTTATAAAAAGCAATTCAGTATTAAATAAACTATATTTACTCTCTTTTGTTTAAAATTTTTCTACCACCAATTTGACTCCATTAAAAAACAACATACATATTTACTTGTAGAATTTTTGGATCTAGTTCAATGCATTGGGAAAGTCATCTGTTTGATTTTTAAAATATTTTTCACTATAATCGTAGACAAATATGAAAGTTTATGCCAATAACAGTTTTATTATTTTGGATTTGTTCTAGTAATAATTTGTCTTATAGGAAATGAAAATGTTATTTT